TTTATGTAACTTATCTAAATATAAAATATAAAAGTTATTGGTACATTTTTAAATAAATAAATAATACTATTAATTTCAATTAAAATAGCATAGAAAATAGTATTTTATTAATAATATATTGTAAAATGTTTTTTGCATTTTTATATATAATATATAATGTTTTATTTATTTATAGATATATATATATAGGGGATGGATCCAGTAAGTACACCTCTTAAATATGGACGTGAGGCTCAATCTTAGCCACTCATTTTGTCTAGATCAAGAATTTATGTTAATCAATTAAAGTATACATTAATTAAATAATAAAAATAATTAGTAGTTGACTCCAGCGTTGACCGTTGACTCCGGCGTTGACTATTGACTTCCGACGTTGACCGTTGACTTCCGGTATTGATCGTTGACTTCCGGTATTGACCCGTTGACCTTAGTATGCATCATGTATGAAAGAATAATTAAAGACAACTAATCTAGCAACAACAGACAACTAACCTAGTAGCTAGACATAACTAACCTAGCAACATCAGACAACTAACCTTGCAACTACATTTAACTGACCTAGCAACTACATTTAACTAACCTAGCAATAACAGAACAGAAGCAGCAAGAAAAACTCATGCTCTCTCTCTCTCTAGAAAATATCCTCTACCTTCTCTCTAAAATTTTTTTCACTCAAATTCAACTTTCTTCCCAAATTAAACCTTTTCTGTCCATTTTCTCAGATCTCCAGCAAGCCAGTGCCAGCTCCGGCCGGTCCCCGGCCATCACAGCAAACCAAAAAAAAACACAAAACATACATTACAGAAAATCTTTGTCACTTTTACCCTATTTTTCATCCGTGCTTTAACCTTTTAGTCCTTTAATCTCAGTCTTTGTCAAAACATGGCTCCTCCGATCATTACTCCAGCAATCAGACAACACTCATCCACCATCCTAGCTTCGGATTTGGAGACCTTCATGTCAAGGCCGGAATTTCGAGAGGCTCTCTCAGCCTTTCTCGAAAAAAACGAGTTCAACAAAATGGGAAAAGAAGAAAACAAAAACAAAAACTTATAAGAAGGAGAAATTGTAGAAGGTGTCGAGCATCTTTGTGGAAAAATCAATTCACAGGGGCTCTTGACTTCACTCATCGAAATTCGCAAAGACTGGTCGACGGCTTCCTTGGAGCGGAGATCAGAAAACCGGCCGCTTGTCTTTGGGTCATACGGTCCGCTGCCGGAAGATGGCTCGCTGGAGAAGACGAGTGCCGCCGACATTCCTTCTCTGTTGACTGGTAAAGAATCTATCTCCTCTTCTCACCAGTTACACCCTCGCCAAGTGGTAGGGTTTGGATCCAATCCTGAGCTAAGAGATATCACATTGGGCCAAAACCTCGCCACCAGTCAGGCCCAAACCAACACTACTTTAAACACTTCTCAACCCACCTCCCAACCCATACTCCAATTAAGCCCTACATTGGGCCTTCCTCTTTATGGACCTGCTCCCACCACAAACAAATCCAAACCGCAGCCCAACAAC